TAGAAATGTTGAGTCTGAATGAAATCTTATGTTAATTTCGCGTCTTATGAGCTTCACAGATAATCAAAATTTTGACCCCTTGTGGGGGAGGAACCCGAAGGAGTGGACCGATATATTCCAAATTCACACCAGACCGTGGTTTAAAAAAAATATTGCGACATGTGTAATTTGAAGGCAATCCGACTCTTACATCACATTTTATAAGAGTTATAATTAATCAAAATTTTGACCCCCACAAGGTGGAATGGACCTATATTGCCCATCTCCGAACTCGATCTAAGTTTGATAATAATATTACAATGTACCAAGTTTGGATCAAATCGGATACTCCCTTCGAGAGTTATTGTGCGCACCAGTCAGACCGACGGACGTAGGAACATCGCTAGATCGACTCCAAATGTCCTGAAACGGATTTGGTCCAAAGAGACCTAGAGTCTAAACCAGTTCTTTCAATGAGGCACGTTTTGGCCGTAGCAAATCCGAAGACGTGTTTCTTCATAAGTAATTTTTTTGTCATAGGCTGTAGTACCCATTGCAATATTCAAATACGAAATTTAAAGCAATTCCGGTGAATAATGTACCTAAAATTATCAAAATACCGGATGTAGGAGGTATCGTTATATGGGGGCAATACGAAGACGAGGACCTGCATACGCGATTTTTCGTTATATGTTGTAGTACCCATTACCAACTTTAAGTACAAAATTTGAAACAACTCCGGTAAAAAATGTCGCTTAAGTCTTCAGAATAACGAATATTGGGTGGCACCGTTATATGGGGGCTATACGAAGACATGGACCTGCACAGACACTTTTTTGTCATACATTGTAATACCTAATACGAAATTTAACTACGAAATTTGAAACTATTCCGGTAAAATCATTAAAATACCGAATATATTGAAGGTGCGTTATATGGGGGCTATATGAAAACGTGGACCTACATGAACCATTTATGAACTTATTATGCCTACTAGCAATGTGTGCAAAATATTAGTCTTCTATCTCAATTCGTTCGAAAGATACCGTGATTATAACAGGCAGACAGACGGAAATCGACTTTGACTTAGAAGTTTACGCTGACCAAGAATATATACTTTGTTGGGTCTGACATTAGTATTTTGAGGGGTTACAAACAGTATTACAATGTGAATATAACCTCCATAGTATTGTGGAGGCCAAAAAAATATGGAACATTGAAAAGAAAAGTTCTGCCCATTTTTAATATATTCGAGTTATTATTCCTTGGAATCCTTGAATTTTAGGTACATAGCGTCTTCGGCAATATTGGCAGCAAAAATCTGGGTAATTTTTATGTAATCATTTTAGGGATCATCATGCAATCAGATCAAAGTATTGTAAAAAAAATATAAAAAAAACGACCTCTTAACATTATTATACCGAAAATATTATTCCACGAATGTTTCTACTAATTGAAGAAGTGAAAACAATGCAGTATATCATTGTGTCTTTTCTTAAATTAAATTTTCTTAAAGAGTGAATCCTATTTCATTTACATATTCAGAATTTTGTATAGACATATAGTATTTTTTTCTGAGAAGACTTTAAGTCTTTGGTACGAAAATAGGAACAATTTTTTCACGATTTCACATTTGAAGTAGTATAATCATTGTTATTTCAAAGGCAAAAATAACTTGAAACATAAATTACTATGCCACACCTATGCCACATAAATCTTGCATTTCATTTGAAATGGTATTATCTAACGGAAGTCTTCAGATATTTTAATTGGCTTGGGGTAGGGTATCAGATGTTATTATTCACAACATTGTCCAGCATTGATTTTCTTATGACCGATGTCATTATCTTTTCCCTTGTTCGAATTCGAATTCAACAGTTGGCCGACCATCTCTTTTGCTTTGGTGTGACATTTTTTGAAAATTTTGTATATTTAAATTCAATTACTGCCTTTATTGAATTTCAATACCGATTACAGTGAGTGCCAAGTATGGTCTGTATAAGTGACACCTTATTTGGCTCTATTTTATAATACTTTGTTTTCGATGAAAACGAAGATGACATCAAAGGTACACGCACAGCAGACGAATAAAACTTTCACTTTGTTTAGATTTTTTTACCGTCTTGGCAAATTGAATTAAAAATAAAATATTTTGTTTCAATTGAAAAAAAATAAAAATAAATCCAAAGAAAGATTTATTACTTTTTGCAAGGTTTTCCGGATTTTTTTTTAATCAAAGTATGATGTTTGATAGGGAACTGATTGGAATTGCAATGTGTATATATAATAATATCCAAAAAAAAGTAAGCAAAAACTATAGTCGTGCGGGGTTGTAAGGTGAAAAAAATATTACAAAATATTATAAATCAAATTAAAAAAATCGCATGCGATAAAAAATATGAAAAAATAAAAATATGTCACAAAATACAACAAAATCTATATTAAGATCATTATTGCCATATTTTTATGCGATTTTTTTAGATTTTATACTTTTATGTCGAGAGGGCGTTCAGAATTGACAAAATTTGTCAAAATCGGTCCAGCCATTCTTGAGATATAAGCATTCTAACTAACATCACCTTCCTTTCCTGTTCGCCTATTTGTGATTTCACCGGGATTAAAAATATTCGCGGTTTAATGGAAAAATTTAATTTTATTTAACACAAATGTTGTGGCCTATTTCACCCACTAAATATTACCCGATGGCCATCAAAATTGGAAGGCTTCTGCCCAGCCCTATGTTCCAGCCCCATGCTAACTTTCGCTTTGATTGGTCTATAATTGTGACCTGTAGAGCAACTGCAAAATCAGGATTTTTTCCAGTTTTTGGTCCATTTCAACCCCTAAATATTATGCGATCATCTCTAAAAGAAATAGGGTTCTATTCTGACCCTAGCCCCACCTCCATTCTAAATTTCGTGCAGATCGGACCATAATTGCGACCTGTAGAGTGATTACAAATTAACATGGACAGACGGACGGACGGACATACATAGCTAGATCGATTCAGCTCGGCGAGCTAAAAAAAACTATAAAGATAAGTTTCGAAAGGAAGAACAATCTTTTAAAGGATTTAATATTGCAAATTATTAAAATCCTAAAAAATCCGGGGTTTAACTAAATTGAGACTCAGACCTAAAAATATGGAAAATCATTAGGATACTACAAACCAAAGTACAATACCAATTGGATATAATCTGCAGAAAGGCTCAACATATTTTCTGACAAATTGTATTGTTAAATTTAATTTGCTTTGGAAAAGCATTTGGAACCACCAAAATAATCCAGCTATGGATCATTATTGGAAGCTGTATCAAATGGTGGACCTACACCGACATTTTTGGGAGGAGATATTCAATATATTGAAAATCGGTAAAGAAATTTGAGAGGAACCGTTGTAGTGGGACTACACCTAGACAATAATATGGTCTCGATCTCAATTAATAGCATTTCAATTAGAATTTCAAAGATTAAGGATACCTTTTACAATTTCAAGAGAATATTGTAAACAGAATGCCTTAAGGTGAGAGAATCAGCATAAAAATTTCAATAAAAAGTTAATCCCAAAAATTATGGTTAGTTATCCGGCTCCACATCTGATAACCAATAACCAGTTCCTGAGTCCAGCTTAAGATGCAAACGCTGATGTCTACTTCTGCTGAAGTAGCTCCTCACTGGAGTCAGATTGGCATTTTTTTTATCAAACTATGGTTAAGTTTAATGACGCACAATATCAGTCCGCTCGTCAGCCAGTCAATATGAATAATTAGTAAGGAAAAGTCAAAAGTCGGGCGGGGCCGACTATATTATACCCTACACCACAGTGCATGTTTATTAGAGCTACCGTAACAAAAGAGTTTATTTCAAGTAGATCATACCACCAATCACCATTTGGATTTTGAGCAGTTATAGTTTGCTATGGAGCGCATGATATGACTTGGAGAAGGATTATATAAAAAATAATATATCGCAGCCGAGTTTCACAAAATGGAATCGTACGTGCCGAAATTCACCCGATTTGAGCTGATATTAGCCATTATTTGCACAATAAGCCTGAAATCGGATTAAGGATATGTATGGGAGCTATATCCAAATCTTAGCCGTTCAAGATAAAATGTGGCAAAGGTATTACCGAGTTCTATAAGATATCGGGTACCAAATTTCATTGTTGTCGAATGCATTTTACAAATGTGATGGATTTAAGAACTAAATCGGATGAAACACGTATATGGGAGATATAGCTATATGTGAACCGATTTTCTCATAAATTTGATGTACTTGCTTCTAGACTGAATTCGGTAGGATGTACAAAAACCCAGGATTTTTGGACAGATACTGGCCTATTGGTGCACAATTAACCCGAAATCGGTTGAAGATATGTTTGGGAGCTCCAAATCTGAACCGATCTTGATAAAGATTGGCAGAGGTGATATTGGGTACCAAATATCATTCGTACGGAATGCATATTACAAATGTTATCCCTTAAACACCAAATCGGATAGAACATACAGGGTGAGATGAAAAGACTGCAACTAACTTCAGACTGCTATAATTTCTTAGCCATTCGTCCGACAGCTGTTAAACTTATTCCAGTGATAGCTCATAATGTTGTTTACTAGCGTTGTTTGCTGGTGAGAATTTTCCAGAAAGAAAAGTTATTCCAATATGACCAATTCCAACAAATCTAAACTTATTCTAAAATTTGATGCTATTTCCGACATTTTTTTCATTTAATATTACAGTGTAGATAAGCATCCACTCTTTTAAAAATACGACGGCAGAAGATATGGTCGCTATAAGTTGTTGTCTTAAAATTTAAGCAGTTTTTGCAATTGTGTCACCTGCCTGCATTTGGCATTATCTCCAAGATTTGTTGAACTATTTGTTTACCATGGTGGTATAGATTCTATTATATTATAAAAGGTCCATCGGGTCTTGAAAAATCAAAGTGTGAGCATAAAAATATGCTTTGCTTTCCGATTATTTTTTTTTTGACATTTCATTCACAGAAAAACTACCCGTTTTAATAATTTTTTCAAATTTGCTTTTCTTTTTTTTTGCGATTCATTTTATGAACATATAAAAAAATAAATAACTATTTACAAAAATAAATAATGCATGTCACTTTGTACAACTGCTCTACAATATTCTACACGACTGGTTGGTTCGTGTTTTCCGAAACAAATCTTTGGAAATTTGCATAATTTCAATACCTAAAAACTAAATGCAATAAATAAATAAATTAACACTTTTTTTCATCAGATATCAATGAAATGAGGCTTCGTCTGGTCGTTGTCATCGTCATTATCTAAGGTGTTGGTGGTGGTGATGTCGGTGTCGGCGTTACGTTAGCCTACACAGCTGCTGTGTGGAGAACTTAACGTTTCTTTTGTCCAGCAAAAGCTATATCTTGGGCGTCACCGTGACTTTCCTGAGATGAACGGGCCCAGGCATGTGGATCCCAGGCGGGGGCAGCATGCTCGATGTGCTCAACATGTTCAACATGATGGGGCAATTCCAAGTGATGTTCAATGGAATGATGATCTAAGTGGTGATCCAAGTGGTGGGGCACAATATGTTCCACATGGTGGGGTACAATGTGTTCAACATGTTCATAGTGATGGGGTACGTGTTCGATGTGTTCATGATGATGGGGGTAGTGGACAACTTCATAGTTGACAATCTTTAAAATAACAAAAAAACCATGGAATAAAGTGTCATCCTCTTGAAGTAATAAAATAATATTTCTACTTACCTTGGGCTTGGCAATTTTGAAAACAACCAAGGCACCGGACAAGACCAAAGACAACAGACCCAATGTCATGGCTTTCCAGGTCTTCAAGGCAATCAGGGCAAGAGCAATGGGCACCAAAACGGTGGTCTTCAACTTAAGACCCAACAAGAAGGGAAGGACAGCCTTCTTGATCATACCACGACCTTTGATATGAAAAAAGTAAACCAAAATTACCAAATAATTAAATTGACATTTTTCACTTTCACTCACCTTCAGCATCACGATCAGCCAATGGTACAATAGCACCCTTGGTCAGAGCATTGTTCATCAAAAAGTCTGGAACGTAAGAGCGGGCCTCAGCCGATTGGAAGAATTCAGGAGCCTTGATGCGCAACGAATGTGTGGCCAAGAAATTATCAATTTCTTGGAACATTCTCTCTTGTGGGTCCATGGCACGCTGCTGGTTGTTTCCGACAATTCTGCCGGTACGAACAACCGATAATTTATCTGTAATCATAATTTCATCTTTATTCAAAGCTTCGTTGAACCATTGCATGGCCTTGGGTTTGACGCAGCTGGTACTGAAATCCTTCAAACATGAACGATACATATCAAAAGCCAAATCGGTGGCTGATTGAGGCATCTGATTGGCATGAGCCAAAGCTCCCGAAGCCGTTATGGCCACGGCCAAAACCACAACTACGAATCTATTCATCCTTGTTCACTGTGTAATCCTTCTCTTTCGATGCTTTCTTTTTTTAATGAATTGTGAAAATCCGCCTCAGTTACGGTACAATTACCCTTCGGCTGACCAACTGAATATGTAAATGTCAATTGTGGCTACAGTGCTTTTTATACGACCATTCTTTTGTTGTAGTTGGTGGATGGTTTAACACAAAATTAACAATTGTTAAATGGTCTTTGATTTTGCTCAATTTCAATTAAACGCTCCCCTCTTCTCGGGTATGTCGAAGTGCAAGAGCAATGGCTCCCACCATTTAAAAGCCACGATACTCTTCAAAGTTACAAAGAAATACTTTTCTTTTCTATCAGTTTTTGGCCAGGCAATTTGTTGTACATTTCGTGGCTTTGTGGCATTTGATTGGCCAGTTAGCCGATCAAAAATCCACACCCTAACTCTCTGGCTCTCACTCTCTTGTGCTCTCCATCATTGACCAGTATTCTCTTTGTGCTCTTTGACCATAATAGTTGGTTAGTTTTACCATCGTACCGTTATACAATATTTTTTGACCACAATTTCACTTAATCGTGTTTGGCCTAAGAATTACTTCATTTCCTCATTGGTAGTTTGGGCCAATAGCAGCGATTGGTATGTGTGGCTGTTGTCTGGCTGGCTGCTTGACTGACTAGTCAGTCAAATTTATGATTGTTGTGCTAAGCTTCTTTCGCACATTCCAATTGTTTTAATGTTAACCTAGGTTTTGACTATGGGAATTATTTTTTATTTTTTTTTTTTGAAAATTAAAAATATAATGTCAAATATTTGGAAATAGGTCATGGTCGGGACTTGTACTAAAATAGTCCAATAAAAATGCCCACACCTCTTTACCTTTACGATAACTTTTGAATACCTGCGTAACCTAAAACCAGTATGGAAAGTCAAAAAGTCGATATCCTACACCCCTTTGCATCACAGAAATAGATGTATACGTATGGAAAAGATGGAGTCAAAATATTGTCACCAAATGTAAATATCACTGTTGTACAAATATAGGGCGCATTTCCAAAACCACTTCCATATCTTAACCACAGACACCAAGAGAGACATAAATAACAAATCTCGGGATTTCAGCCTTATTACTTCACCCAACACCAATTACAGTATTACTAAGAAGTTTTCTTACAAAAAAAGGGCGCATTTCCAAACCCACTTCCATATCTTAACCACATATACCAACAGAGACCTAAATAACAAATTTTGGGATACCAGTCTAATTCCTTCACACAATACCAAATTTAGTATCATATAGTATTTTTTGTACAAATATTGGACGCGTTTGCAAAATCACCTCCATAACTTAACCACAAACACCAACAGAGACCTAAATAACAACGACATAGTTACCAATGTTAAATGATTTAAACCGCTAAGGCATATATAATTATTTGGAAAAATCTATGGAATTGAATTTAGAAACCAATATTTTGGATTATTCAAACTTTTATTTTTCATCAATCTCCAAAAAAAAAAAAAAAATGTTTTTATACCCTCCACCAGCAGTATGGATTGTATATTAAGTGTGTCATTCCATTTGTAACACCTCGAAATATACTTTTTAGAACCTACAATTTCGATTTCGCAATGTCCGTCCGTCTGTCGGTCTCTCAGTCTGTGGAAATCACTCTAGCTTCCAAATGAATTGAAGTATATTGATATAGTATAGTATAGTGTAGTATAGTATAGTAGTATGAGTATAGCCCCCATATAACCGTACCTCCTGATATTCGGAATTTTGATGATTTTAGCGACATTATGTACCGGAATTATTTCTAATCTTCTCTTTGTGCACCAAACGTGTAATATCAGCCTGAATTGTATGGAATTTTGCATGTGCACTCAAATTAGGCCTGAAAATAAGCATGCCAAATTTGATCGAAATCGGTTCAGATATAGCTATAGCTCCCATATATATTGTTCATCCGATTTGTTATTTTTGCCCTCCGCAGCCGTAATATGCACTCTGCAACAACAACATTTGGGGAAATATATCAAATACAGCTCAGAAATACATTTGCTAAATTTTATCGAGATCGGTTCAGATTTGGATATAGCTCCCATATATAACTTCGTCCGATTTACTTCTTATTGTGCACCAAACGTCTAATATTTGTCTAAATGGAACGGAATTTGGCACTTACGGCCGAATTCAGTCTAGAAGCTAGTATGTCAAATTTGGTGAAGATCGGTTCAGATATAGATATAGCTTCCATATATATTATTCATCCGATTTGTTACAACCGTAATATGCACTCCGTAACAACGATATTCAGAGTAATATATATAAAATACAGCTCAGAAATATTTTTGCCAAATTTTATCGAGATCTGTTCCGATTTGGATATAGCTCCCTTATATATTTTTATCCGATTTCAAATTAATTGCCCAAATGGGCAATACAAGTCCGAATTTAAAAGATACAAATGCTTCGGCATATTTAGTCCTTTGAACTTTAAATTATAATTATAATCAAAGCGTGTATGATTGAATTCTCCCATAAAAAATTTTAATTGTTATGTGGAGCTCTACTAAATTAGCAAAGTGGTGTAGGGTATCATAAAGTCGGCCCCGTCCGACTTTAAGACTTTCTTTACTGGTTTACTAGTAATAGACTAAGAAAAAAAAGTTTTAAAAAATCACTTTTCGGAATCAAAAGTGTTTTGCGTTATCAGGCCAATACTTTTAGGGCCTTTCTACATAGGTATAACCATACAAAACGAGTATCCAATATTTTGTTCCATACTTCGCAAGATTTAAGATAGATCTTTGAATTTCGATAGAAAACGTTTTCTAATTAGCAAACATTTCTAATATATTGCCTTTTTTTGTATTTTCTTATTAGCATAAATCCGTAATCAATCATTGGTGTCAAGGTCAATTCCCAACATGATAATAGGCGTGGTTATTTTTGTAAAAGTATTCCCCTAAGCATATAAAAAAATCGAAAATTCATTTCACCACCATTAAATTGTCATTAAAAGAAAATGAAATGTGTGCCGCAGATGCCAAAAATAGTTGCAACGAAAATGAAACTTTAATTTCCATTTTACGCCTTCATGGCTGCCTTTGTGTTAGAAGTTTATTTCATTGATAAAAAAAAACGAATAAAGAAAAATGTGTAAACGAGCGTAAAGAGTGTTCGAAAAATGTCCATCAAATAATAAAAGAAATGTATTATGGCCAATTTACGTTACCTGATTAACTGAATTTGGCTTGTGTAGCTGTCAACACGTTGGCTGGTTGCACTTCCCTTCTTAGTGTTCCAACTACCGGCATTTTGTGAGAATGTCGGCGAGTGAGTATGTGTGTGTGTGCACGATGACAGTTGGCTTGTTGGTGTATGCTATTTGGCTTTAGTAGCATGGTCGATATAAAATTGAAAATGTATTGGTAAATGAATTTAAGGTTTTATAGCTTCGGAGTCATTCCACATATAATGGGCTGTGACAAACTATGTAAGAGGAAACAAGTTTTGTTATTTTGTAGTTAGACTCAGAACAATTGCGCACACTTTTACTCCCGAAGAGAATGTATAATTTGGTGTATATAAATATCATAATATTTGTATAAAGAAAGATCTCGAGTTCCTGCACTGATCTTCTACAAAAATGAGGAATTCAAATATTTTGGAGACTGGAGAATATATCGGTTTACTCCTGCCTTCCCAACAACGGGATAAGATGTAAACTATGTCTCCGATCATTTCCCAACCAATTTATTATTATTATTTTATTTTTTGAATTAAAAAAATCTAGAATTTCTGTAATTGTCCCAGTTATAAATATGTAGAGGATTTTAAAAATATATTTCCCAGTAAAATGAGATTCGAAGATTTATATTTTTATACCCTACACCGCATAGTGGTAAGGGTATTATGTCTTTGTGAATTTGTTTGTAACATGGAGAAGGAAGCGAGATAGACCCATAGTTACGTTTGAGGATCTCCATAGAATCACTTTCTGAGTTGATTTATGCATTCATGTATCCGATTGAGATGAAATTTTGCACATATCATTTGTTTGGCCCAAGGACGAACCCTATTGAAATTGGAGATAATCGGTAAAAATTTAGATATAGCTCCCATATATATGTTCGTCCGATTTTCTTTTTATTGTGCACCAAACGTGTAATATGAGCCCGAATAGTATGAAATTTTGCAAATACAACCAAATAAGACCTAAAAATAAGTACGCCAAATTTGATCGAAATCGGTTCAGATATAGCTATAGCTCTCATATATATTGTTCATCCGATATGTTATTTTTGTCCTCCGCAGCCGTTATATGCACTCTTCAACAACAATATTTGGGCAAATATGTCAACTGCAGCTCAGAAATACATTTGCTAAATTTTATCGAGATCGGTTCAGATTTGGATATATCTCCCATATATAACTTCGTCCGATTTACTTTTTATTGTGCACCAAAGTCTAATATTTGCCCAAATGGGATGAAATTTGGCACTTACCGAATTAAGCCTAGAAGCTAGTATGTCAAATTTGGTGAATAGCTATAGCTCCCATATATATTGTTCATCCGATTTGTAGTATTTGTTACCCACAGCCGTAATATGCACTCCGTAACAACGATATTCAGGGAAATATATCAAATTAGGCCTGAAAATAAGTATGCCAAATTTGATCGAAATCGGTTCATACATAGCTATAGCTCCCATATATATTGTTCCTCCGATTTGTTATTTTTGTCCTCCGCAGCCATAATATGCACTCTGTAACAACAATATTTGGGGAAATATATCAAATGCAGCTCAGAAATACCTTTGCCAAATTTTATCGAAATCGTTTCAGATTTGGATATAGCTCCCATATATATCTTTATCTGATTTCAAATTAATTTTGCACCAAATGGGCAATACGAGTCCGAATTTAAAATATACAAATGCTTCGGCATATTTAGTCCTTTGAACTTTAAATTATAATTATAATCATAGCGTGTATGATTGAATTCTCCCATAAAAACTTTTAATTCTTATGCGCAGCTCTACTAAATTAGCAAAGTGGTGTAGCGTAAAAAGTCGGCCCCGCCTGACTTTAGGACTTTCTTTACTGGGTTTTATAATTTAAAAAAAGAAAATCCACGATTTCACAG